GGTGGTGGCTCAAGCAGTTGAGATCCTGCTAGCCATGTACAGGAGACCCACATTGAATTCTGGGCCCCTGGCTTCGGCCTGACAAGTGGAAGATCTCTCTCTCTCTCTCTCTCTCTCTCTCCTCTCTCTTCTTTCTCTCTCTCTCCTCTTCTCTCTCTCTCTCTCTCTCTCTCTCTCTCTCTCTCTCTCTCTCTCTCTCTCTAGCTTCTGGGAGCAATGCAGGAAACGACCCCAAATCAGGATGGGTGCCTGTTGCTTTTCTCCTTTCTACCATAAACCTGTCCTCCCCCTATTGCCACTAACAGCCATGTACATGTCCCAGCGTGGCAATCTGCTACTGCATGGAGATGTGTCTGCACTGAAGGAAGAACTCTGAATCCCTTGCCCAGAAGCGCGTGTCCCCACCAGCCAGCAACAGTCGAGGTGGCATCCCCAAAACGCCCCATTTCCCTGAGCTCTGCTGGGCCCCCGCCCCTCCGTGTTCCTGACTGTGCCCCTCACTCCCTCCCACACTCTTCAAGACACAGCCTCTCTCTGAGATGTCCCTGCCTGCTCGCAGCCTCCTGTCAGTTCCCCAGTGGCCAGAGGCTGAGGGCCAGCCAATGGCTGAGGTCACCCAGAAACAGTGGGGGAGGGTGGGACTCAGAAGTGCCCTCCCGAGGTCATACTTGCCAGGGCAGTGGGCTTGTGACAAATGTCTCTGGAATTTTTGTGACAGAAGCCATCAGTGAGGTCCGTGTGCTGGGGCCCCTTCTCCCTCTCCACAGCATCTCCTGGGAAGCAGCGGCAGCGGCTGCAGAAGGTGCAGACTCAGCACCGCCTGCCTTCCCTTTGTCACTGTGGCTCAGATGGCTTTGGGCCACCAAGAGCACATCCCTGCCCATTCGCCACCCTCAGCAGGAACTCAATAGGTAGCCATGGCTGCCTCTGTTTCCCTGCCTGTCTCTCAGCACCTCCCAGAGCAGAGTCAGCCCTGACTCAGGCCTGATCTCTTAGTTCCCACACCTTCCTCTCCCACCCAACTCACCCCAGAACCCTTCACCCACTCAGGAAGGAAAATAGTTCAAGAATCAAAGCCTCTTCAGCCGGCCAGCCAGTGGTCCAGTGAGTCTAGACATGGACCCAGGGTCACACAGTGAGGGTGAGAACAGGAAATAGATCCATTCTCCTGCCCCTACCCCCACAACCCCTTCCTCCCAGCCCCTGCTCTATGCCTTTGTTGGATGAATCATCAGGCAAGTCTGGGTTCAAATCCCCAAAGTGCCTCAAAACAAGGTAGCAGACTTGAGCACATGACTTCAGGCTCCCCAGGGCTCCGTGTCCTCATGGGTGTGGTGGGGCGGGGGGTGACTGTGGCATCTGCACAGACAGAGAGCAAGTGTGAGTGCAGGTGCATCCTCAGGGCAAGTCTTTTGAGATTGACTGACAGAAGCCTGGAGGCCCTTTAGCTGGCTTCTGCCAGGCCCAGCTGGGACCCAGGATCTACCTTAGCCCCACAGGGAGCCTTAGGACTGCACCTGCAAAATGGGAAGGACACAGGGTTGGTCAGCAGGGGGGCTCTGCAAGGGTACCATCATCAGAGGCCAGCCAGGTGCTTGGCCTTGCACAGTGTGGCCCTGCTGCCCAGGGTCATCAGTCTGTGTGGAGCCAAGGGCACTTGAGTGTGTGGGTTGAGGAATAGTAAAGAACAGCCTGGATTTAATTCCTGGCTCCATGCCTCTGCTTGCCCATCTGGAAAATGGGGAGAAAGGCAGTACTTCCCTCCCTGGGCTGCTGTGAAGATCAAATAGGCTCATCATGTGCTTCGAGCAGGTAGAGCCCATTGGATGCATAGCGAGGGCCCAGTAGCTGAGAGGTCTCTTATCACTACATCACTTGTCTTCTGGGAAGTCTCCCGGGGGGACCCTACACTGCAGACTAGAACTTTCCCTGGGCATATCTGGAGATGAGTTTGCATTCTTCTCTATATAACCTGCCCAGCAGGGCCATCATGCCCTGAGATGCTCCAGCTCTGGTCTCTGCAATCTTGGTGTCCTATCAGCACAAGTCAGCTGCAAATAAGGACCCTTGGTTATGGCTGCTCTGATTGCATCCACTGTAGCCCAGAAGAACCAGGCACTGTGTTCAGCTGTGCTGAATGTCACTGTATTGAGAGACCGTGGTGCTTCCAACCCGTCCAGTCTCCCGTGAAACCAGGACGAAGTCATTCAAGCTCTCTGAGGCTGTTTGCTTCTCTGTTCATGGTAGGAGAGGCGGGGGGTGGGGGGGGGGCAGGGAGGATCTCATCTGAGGCCACTAGGAGGATTAAATCAGATCATAAAGGACACACAGCAGGTGTCCACGAGGAAATGTTCCTGCTGGTGTGTGGGGAGGCCATGTGAGAAAGAGCTTCATTATAACTTCTACCTGACAATGGGCACCTTTATAGGAACAGATCTACAGAGATAAGGAGAAACAGAGAAAGATGTTTCATCCCCTGGTTCACTCCCCCAAATGGCCACAATGGCCAGAGCTGAGCTGATCAAGAGCCAGGGGATTATTCTGGGCCTCCCATGTGGTGCAGGGTCCCAAGGCTTTGGCCTGTTCTCGACTGCTTTCCCAGGCCACAAGCAGGGAACTGGATGGGAAGTGGAGCAGAGCAGCCGGGATTAAAACCGGCGCCCATATGGGATCCCGGCGCGTTCAGGTCGAGGACCCCAGCCACTAGGCCACGCTGCCGGGCCCTCAAACAACTCTTATCCCTGGAATAAATCTCACCTGATCATACTCTAGAATCCTTTCTTACATGGGGCTGGCTTCAAGGAGCTAGTATTTTATTGTTTTTGTTTTGCATATATGTTCAATAGAGAATTGGTTCCTATTTTTCTTTCTTTTTTTTTTTTTTTACATAGACATTTACGGCTATAACTTTCCCCCTAAACGTTGCTTTGGCAGTATCTCTCATGGTATGGGCATAGTGATTTCATTATTTTTCCCTTTGATTCCTACTTTATGAGTATGTTATTTCAACATATTTTTGAATTTCAAAAGTTAATTTCTGTTATTAATCTCTGCTTTTATTGTGATTGGAGGACATACTTTGTTTCATTTCAGTCATCTTAAATCTATCGGGAAGACATTCCGTGTGTGCTGGAGGAGGTGGTCTATTCTGCTGACTTGCTCTGTGGACACCTGCTAGGTCTAATGTGTGTTAGTGTTGTTCAAGGCAAAGATTGCTTGTTGGTCTTCTGCTTTGTTTTTCTATACATTGCTGGGAGTGGCGTGTTCAAGGCTCCACCTGTTTTTGTTGAATTATCTGTTTCCCCTTCATCAATTATCCATTGTGTCAGGTATTTTGAGACTTTGTTGCAAAGTACCTAAGTGTCTACCATTGTTATAACTTCCTGATAGATTGCCCCTTTTGTCATGATATGCCCTTCTAGTTTTATCATTAAAAAGTCATCTCTGATAACGTTTTATGCTTTTAAAGGCTATTTTTGTCTGACATTATTATAGCTCCTCCAGCTTTCTTGGGATTGCTATCTACACAGTGTATCTTTTCCCAATCCTTCCTTGTCTTTTGATTCTCCAGTGCGTCTCTGACAACTGGTGTGGAACTGGGTCTTATTTCTCACCCAGCCTGAGTCTCTGCCTTTTTTGTTGTTGAGTCTGTTCATATTTAACATTACATCAATGGAGTCAGACTTGCCTCTGTCATTTTGCCTTTTGTCTCACAATGGGAGGAGGAGGGGTTCTCCATTTCTCCTTTTGTTTTGAGTATTTTCTAGAATCATATTTTAATTCAGTTCATCTTTCACTAGATGTTTTTTGATTAGGTCTTTAGTGGTTGTCCTAAGGTCTATCATATGTATCTTCTCAGAATCAACTTCACATTTATACTAACTTCATCCCAGTGAGAATCAAGCCACTCTGGCTTTTCCTATTGAACTGGATTACTCTTCCCTCTTGTGCTGTTACTATAGGAGAGCTCTTCATTCAGCTCTGTATGGCCCAGAGTGGGCTTGGCTAGGATGCACACTGACTGCAGGTGAGTCACTAAATATCTTAGGACTCCAGTGTCCTCACCCATAACGGGGAGAACTGGATGAACACAGCTCCAAGAGCAAAGTGAGCTACCAGCCTGCAGCCCCCACACGGTGGGATTATGCAGAAGGCTCTGGCCTGTGTTGGGCCTTCAGGGAATTCCAGAATTTACCCCAGCGTTTCCCCAGCATTCAGACACCAGGCGTGGCCAGCCAAAGCCAGGAGGAGGTCCTTCTGCTGCCCAGAATTGGGCTGGCAGCCTGAGGACAGGCTTGTACCTGGGGTACGGGGTGCAGGAGAGTGAGCCATGAAGCTGGAGGGCAGACCTGGCAGTCCTGGGTCCCAGCCTGGCTTGTCCACAGAGTAACCTGGTTGGCTCCAGGTCTTACACGCAGTAGTGCTGAGCCTCAGTCCACCCATCCATTGAAGGGGAAAACCACATCCCCAGCTGTGTTGTGTGGCACTAACAAGGCTGGCGTCTCTGCCCCTGGCTGGCTCTGACCCCCAGACCCAATCACCTAATCTGTGAGAGCGGATAAAGTCTCCACAGTTCCCAGGGTGTTCAGGGACACAGCTCTCCACCCTGAAGTTCCTGCACCTTCCTTTGCTCTGCTACACCATGCCCCTTCTTTCACGTCCCCTCCAACTCTGTGTTCCTCTGTCCGGCCTGGGATGCCTCCCCCTTCCTTCTTGCCTTGCAAGAACTCCTCCAGGAAGCCTTCCTTGATTGGCTCCAACCCCCTGACCTGTCTGAATCAGTAGCTGGCCCCATGAGTCCCTCACCCTCCCAGAGGCCTTAGTAACATCACATTGACCTTCCACCCATTGTCTTGGGGCAGTAGAGCCCCTGCCTATCCCCAAGAGTCTTGGCATCTAGGCCGCAGCTCTGCTACTATTTGCTGGACAAATTCTCGGTCCTCCAAGACCCCTCCATCCTGCCCTATGAGTTAGCTGAGTGCCTAGTCCAGAGGAGGGGAGCTTTGGAGGAGAGGTGGGCTGGGCAGCCCCCAGCACAAGGGGCTCCTACAGGCAGTGGGTGAGCACAGCCCTTTCTTCCATGGTAGGGGCAGCCAAGACAGGGCCTACCATGGATTCAGGGATTAGTACCACATGGGGGAGGAGGGAGGCGTGCAGAAGCCCGGGCCCAGCACAGGCTCCCCTCTCTCTGTCTGCAGTAGCACGCTACAACCGCACCAGCTACTTCTACCCCACCTTCTCAGAGAGCTCGGAGCACAGCCACCTGCTCGTGTCCCCCGTGCTGGTAGCCAGCGCCGTCATCGGCGTGGTCATCATCCTCTCCTGCATCACCATCATTGTGGGCAGCATCCGCAGGGACAGGCAGGCCCGGCTGCAGCGGCACCGCCACCGCCATCATCATCACCACCACCGGCGCCGACACCGGGAGTATGAGCACGGCTACGGTGAGCTGCCCCCTCGGGGACCCTGCACCTGCATCCTGCCCAATGGTGACTGCTATCCAGGACATACCGGGAAGGTAGTGCTCAGGGAAGGCGTCTCAGAGGTCCTGGGGCATCGGGAAGAGTTCCCAGATGCCCACCAAAATGAATGTCCTCCATACCCTAGGAGCCCCCACCCCCCAACCCCTGTGCCTGCCGAAAGGGGAGGGACCTCAGAGGGAAGCTAAAGGCTGAGGAAGAGTGAATGTCACTGCTCTCCAGCCCCTACCACTGCTGGCCCAGCCTGGACCAATAACTAGTTCAGTTGGTGCCTGGAGGGAAAGATGGATGGAGAGGAGGGAGGGAGGGATTAGTGGAGAGAAGGATGGAGGAATAGAGGGAGGAATAAATGGAGGGATGGAGAGAAGGATAGAGGGAAGGTGGAGGGAAGAGGGATGGAGAGAGGGATGGAGATAGTCGGGAGAATGGAAGGAGGGAAGGATGGGGGAGGAGGATCCATGGAAAGAGGGATGGATGGGCGAGTGGGTTAGTGAAAGCTTGGTGCCTGTCCCTGGTGCCAAATCAGAATGATGACAAGCTTTGGGGGTGCAGGAGGGAGAACACAGACTCTGCCCACTGATGAGAGGGCAGCAGACAGGCTTCTGAATCTTAAGGATACTGTTGCACTAGGTGAGAGGGCTTATAAGGAGCCACAAAGAAGGGCCCACGCCTGAACCTGGGACGAGGAGCGGAGGGCAGGGGCTGCTGGAGTTCTCAAGCTGAGAGCGGTGAGAGGCCAGCCTGGGCTGTGGGGCACAGAAGTGGTATGTGGGCAGCCCCTCCTTAGCTGGGGATGCCTAAGGGCCAGGCCTGAGTCTGGGCTCTGACTCTGTGCAGCCCTGTGCCCTGTGGGGGAGGGGAGTTGGCATGAGGACACCTAGGTACGGTGCCCCCCTCAGCACTCCATCTGCTCCCAGCTGTGGCCTTGGCTCCTTCCTGGGCCTCAGCAGGGAGCCTGGAGGCACTGCAGTCCTCACCCCTCCCCCAACCTTGGGCAGTAGAAGATGCAGGGCAGTGCGGGGATGCAGGGCAGTGCGGGAATGCAGAGCACCAGAAACTGGGGCCTCTGGGGATGGGGAGCCCTGCCTCCTCCCAGACTCCCTGCCCTGGCTCCTGGGTTCCCGTCCACCCCTCCAGCTGGGCCTCCTCAGACTTCAGGAAACTCCTCTGCCTTGTGCACGCGGAGCCCCAGCCTTGTACCAAGCCCCCTCACTGTACCCATTCTGCTCTGGCTCCTCCACCGGCCAGCTGTAGCCTGCAGCCCCCTGAACATCACCCTGTGTGCACCCACGGCAGGGGGCGTTCCCCACTCGGGAGGGTCATCGCAGTCTCATCGCCCACTTCTCACTGTTCAACCTCAGGAGGGCTGCCCAACCTCTCTGAGCCTCAACCTCAAAGCAGAGACTTACCACAGGGAGCCACCACGAAGGCCAGAGCAGCCCAGTACCCTGCTGAGGAGGCTACCCCCACCCCCATATATTAACAGAAAGCCTGTTCCTGGCTGCTTCTCCAGACCCAGCATGTCCCCTGCCTGCCTGGCACCCCCCAAACCTTCACAGGCTGCTCCAGTGTCTGGACCAAAAAGCTTCTGTGGTCAGCCCTCTGCAGCCAGTGGCTTCCTGGTGACTTCAGGACTGAGCCAGCCCCAGGGCAGGGAGAGGGCTGCAGTCCTGGCAGTTTTGTATTCAGATTTTTCTCTTTGCTGTTGAAGCAGGCATGAGAAGCAGAGACTGTGGAAGGCAGAAACCATCTCTAGCGTTACACAGGCTGCATGCATTCCGGCTTCTGCATTTGCGACCCTGAGCCTCAGTTTTCCTGCCTGGGGTACAGGGTGGGCAACCCTGCCCCTGCAGCTCCCACAGTTCCCCCGCTGAGCCTGGGCGGTGGAGTTCAGAAAATCAGGAGCCAAGACCCCCAGCTGCCTTCAGCCCTTACTTACTGTGTTCTCCAGCAAGGCTCTCAGCCTCTCTGAACGCCAGCAGAGCACAGTGCTCCAGCAGTTTCCTAGGTCTAAGAAAATAAGATTCTAGGGCCAGGCACGTTGGACCTGCACACTAGCTGCCCTTCTTAGCTGCAGGACTGCTCAGAGTCTGTGATGCAGAGAATGCAGTGGGCAGGGGGGGTCACCATGCCCACCTCAGTTGTGTGTGCTTGGAGTAGGGGGTTGGAGGAGGTACCTGTTCCTGGAGACCAGACACCCTGCAGGCCTTAGTTCCCCCCACCCCACCATTCTTTTCCCTCACTTTATGCCCCAGGCCAATGCCGCAGCTCACAGCGCCCCCTGCAGGCCATACTCTTTTCTGCTCTCCCTCCATGGCTCAAACTGGTCCCTGCCTTCCCTCCTGCCCATCTCCCCGTTGGCTGAACTCGAGACAGCTCTGAAAGCCCCTCCCTTGGGGACCCCTCCCTGACCTTCCGCTTGTCAGCCTATGTGCACCCACAGCTCTAGTACAAGCTTTAAGCTTGGTTCACTGCTCAGAACAGACCTGTCCCTGGGCAGCCTCCCACCCGCTTGTCCCCGCCCTGCCCCAGTCAGGACAGCTCTCCCGGCTTCCTCTGGGACTTGTGCCCAACTCACTTCCTGGGACTGTCTGTGAGGGAAGGTGGGCCGCTGTGCTCGGGGCCCCTGGAGATCTCAGGTGGACCCGTGGGGACCGTCCATCAGCTGCAGCCTAAGGTCCAAGCTGAGGGTGTCTCTCCCGCAGTGTCAGAAGAGCACGCATACAGCCGTTCAAGCCGCAGGATGCGTTACGCCTGCAGCCCCGTCGAAGACTGGCCCCTACCCTTGGACGTCAGCTCTGATGGGGACGTGGATGCCACAGTGCTCAGGGAGCTGTACCCAGATTCCCCGCCGGGGTAAGGAGGTGTGACAGGGAGGGGTACGGGAGGAAAGGGTTCTGGACAGACACCCCTCCCCACACTTGCTCAGTGGGTGTGCTGTCCCTGCTCACCCTCCCCTGGAACCAGCTGGTCCCATCACGATAAGGTAAGGCTCAGCAGATGGGGAACAAAGAGAGGACGAGCTCAGAGGCTAGCACCTGGAGATTCCTTCTTGCACAATCTTAAGTGAATTCCATAGTGTCACCATGCCTATGGCTGCCCCAGTCACAGCAGCAGCTGCCACATCAAAGGGCGAGAACAACAGCGTGGAACATGCAGTTACATGCTCAGCTCTAAAACACATGGGGGCTCCTCCCCGCAACATCATTCCCGGCTCAAGACTGAAGGAGATAAGGTACCCGTCTGGGCTGGAGAGGGAGCAGCGAGAGCAGGCTAGCATGGGAAACTGGCCTTCATCAATGACTGGCCGCTGGAATGGAGCTGGGCCTTGGGGCTGTGGAGGAGGTGACTAGAGGCGGGGGAGGGGGAGCACAAGCAAAGGCCCAACAGTGGGGGAGCAAACCACAGTGCAACTGTGCTGCTCTAAGCTGGCTCCACCTCTCCTCTCATTCTTTCTGGCTTCCGGGGAATTTAGCCCTGATCCCGGCTACACCACTGCCCCTCTCAGGGTCTCTGCTGCTTTGTCTGTGAACCAGGTATGAGCAACTCTTCTGTGCTGGGCTGTCCAGGGCAGGAAAAAGACACTGTGGGTATCTGGGGACATGATGCCACCCCTGGCCCTGGAGCACAGTGCTTCCAGCCATTTGGTGGGGCAAGAGTGGGGAATTAGACCCTAGACACCAAAACCTGGGCCCAACGAGGATGCCCCCACCCAGTGTGGACTGACCACGTGAGCAGCTGCTGCTCTGCATCCATGCGCATGTGGAATGAGTCTGGAGACCCTGGGGCAGAGTTCTCCTTGAGCCGGGCCCAAGTTGGGTCTGGCAAGGCTCAACACTCTGTCCCAGGATGTCTGGGCTCAGGGCCTGGCCAGGCTAGGCAGGAAAAGGCAGGTCAGACACACTTGACCACCAAGCCTCACAGGTGACAGGAGTGTGGGGGAGCCCAGGGCATCATGGTCTCAGCTGCAGCCACTGAAACAGACATTGGCTAGTGGGTCAGGAGTCATGGTTATGGTATGGTCATGGTCATGTCCTCCAGCCCTCGGGAGACACCACCTCACCCAGGGCCTGGCTTACACAGGGCCCTGAAGGAGCTCCTTCTCTTGTAGCTACGAAGAGTGTGTGGGGCCAGGGGCCACAGAGCTGTACGTCCCCACAGATGCACCACCGCCCTACTCGCTGACTGGCTCCTGCCCCACATTGGACAGCGCCGTGGATGCCAGCAGTGGCCAAGATCCCAGCCAATCCCAGCAGGTGCACAGGCCTGAGGAGCTGAGTGGTCTCCATACCACCTCCATGGACATGCTGCCTCCATACGAGGCTGTGTGTGGAGCTGGTCCTCCGTCCGGTCTGCTGCCGCTGCCGGGCCCAGGACCAGGGCCAAGAAGTTCTCAGAGCTCACCCGACCCCAGCCAGGGCTCAGAGAGGACTGTGTGAGCGACTCAGCTGACCAGCTCCTGCTGGTCCCTCTGGGCTGAGCCATACCCTGCAGGCATACACACACACAAATATACAATGCACCCACCCAGGTACAGACACTGACACACCCCATGTGCACACAATCCAGACATGCAAGTCTCGTGTGCAGACAAACCTACCTGCACAGGTATCCTTCGCCCAGGTTAGGAGTGCCTCTGTGAATGGCACTGGGGGAAAGAGGGAGCCAAGTTGGAAAGGGCCTTTTTTGGCCATCTCCCCAGGCCTGTTTGCCCCTGCCCTGCCCAGCAGACTGTGCCAATATTCTGATTCCACCTCTGGAAACTTCTTGGCCAACCCAGGCCAGCCCCTGACACCAGGATCCAGAGGAGATCAGGCTGCGTGTTGTGCCTGTCTCTCACCTCCAGGGCAGAAGAACCACAACACCACCACCCTGCTACTTATGAGGCTGAGGGGCCTGGAGACCCTCGCAGCTCACTGAGCCCCCACTGACACAGGCCCCTCCATCTGGTGCTGTTAGTGGAGCTCTTGGCTCCCAGCTGTGTAGGGCCCTGCATGAGTTGGTGGTGGGTGTGGAAGGATGGGGCTATTTTCCCACCAGGATGCTGACCCCTGCCTGACACTGAGGTCTCCAGAACAGATGAGGCCATGGCCCTGCCCCAGGGGGTCCCATTTACAACGCTGCCAGGTCGCTGCTCCAAGGCAGAGATGTGGCTCCCCTCACCCAGCACGTGCCCGCTTAGCCACTGTGGCCTGACCTCAAAGAGCTGGTGCTTTTTCCCTGGCTGGCAGCAGGTGGCTGGGGACTGGGAGTCCCCCACTTTTGGCCTTGGCCTTCCGCAGTTCCTGCAGAGAGTGACCTGGGCCCCCTAAAGGTCGCTGTGCCACCTCAGAAGCAGTTGCAGTTGATGGTGGCTGCAACAGGGTATGCCAACAGGTCACCTCCTAGGAAGCCCGGCGACTTCCATCCGAAGCCACGTGGGCAACAGGTGGTTCCTAAAGAAGACTCAGCCAGCCAAGGGGCCCAGTTGCTCTGCCACCCCCACTTCTTGTCACCTACCCTCTGCTCATCCTCTTCCCCACACCTCAACTTCTCTAGTGAAGGGCTAAGACACTTCTGTAAATCCCTTTCCAAAGCAGAGGGGCAGCAAAGGTGGCAGCCCTGAACTTGACTTTCAGTCCAGAGCTTGAGTTCCAGTGCAGAATGGAAAGGAACTCACCCACTGGCCCCCGGAGCCCCTGACTCCACCTGAGGGCTGGGAGGGACCTTGTTTACAAGTTCCGTGCACCTGTGCGGTGTGCTGTTTCCTAGGCAGAAGTGCCTGCCTGCTGTGCTTAACGCCTTTAACATGCGCCCCAGGGACGAGGCAGCTCTGAAGACGCATCTGCAACTGCTGAGCGTGCTGGAGGAGAGGGCAGGGGACGGGAGAGAAAGATAAAGATCCCTGCCTCCTCCTCAGTGGGCACCAGAGACAGAGCCAAACTGCTTCTCTTGCTGCTGGCTGAGGCGCTGAATAAGCAACAATGTATCTTTTCTGTGTTCAAAATAAATATATCCTATCAATAAAACATACCCAGGAGTAACACTTTAAACACCAGCCCTGGAATTCATGCAGATCTGAAACTTCACAGTAACCAGCTGAAAATATGTCCCCAGCTAGCCGCCTGCCACCCTTTTCTTCTGGAGCCTTGTCACTGTTCTGGTGACCTGTAGGAGTTCTTTGCTTGCCTAACCTCACCCAGACATGGTTCCCATCCCTATGGCTTGGCTGGTGTGAAAGTCCCTGCTTAGGGCCACCGATGCAGGGAGCATCAGAGACTGCACACTGCCCTCTAATGGCACAGGCTTTTAGCACAATAGCATTGGCTGCTGGGAAAGGGGATAGGGGAGCATCGTAATGAGATCAAAATGATACCCCTTCTGCACAAATTCTTTTCCATTCTGTGCCCTCTGTAAGGTACTGGCTTTGAAGGTAAATCTTGTGGCAGACACAGCCCAGTTCCCTTCCTCTGCTAGCTCCCCTCCCACTAGGAGCCCACCAGCATCATCTGGGACGCCCCCCTCCCCGACCGCAAGTGTCCTAACATGGGTGTGATCCTGATGGAGGGTTCAGCCACGTTGAGGATACCCAGAGATAGGGCCCACAGCTCCTTCCAGGGCTCCCAGCCAGTTCCAGTCCCAGCTGGAGGTGCTGTCAGCCCACACTGCCACCTGCTGGCTCCCTGCTGCCACTGCTCCTAGTAAACAATCCCTGAGCCTATACAGACATTTGTCACATTGACTCTGGGCTTGTCTTCCATTTGAGGGGTTCAACCCATCCACGAGTCTCATGTCCAGGACTAAACCTGCCCCCATCCAGCATCTCTCTTTCTGCCCCAACTTCCTCCCTCCCTCTGGAAACAGCCTTGGGCCCATGCCCTCCTCTAGATCTAAAAGAATCATCCTCTTGCTCTGCCAAACACCCCGCCCCCCGCCGCCGTGGCTCAAGCACCAGCTCTGTGCTCTGGGACCCCCCCACCCCATCCCAGCACTAAGGCAGCAAGCTGCATCCCAACCTGGTGCCACACTGACTCCCAGCTCCCACAACAAACAGCCAGTATCAGGGCCTTGCTGGCCCTTCCATCTATGACATGCCCTGTGCACGCCAGATCCTTAGCTAATTTCTACTCCACTGGAGGGGTGAGGGGTGAGAACACGCCAGGAGGTTTCTTCAGCTCCCAAGGAGACGGGAGGCGAAGCTGCACCCCTGGGGCCAGATCCTGGGGCATGGCTGGGGTCAGGGCAATAACCCAGGAGCACCAGAGGGAGTGGGTCAAGGAAACCAGGAAGAGAAGGCAGGCACGAGGGGGGCACCATGAGGCTACTGCTATTGGCCGCCAAGCCCAGGCCTGGCAAGTCTGAGCAGGTAGTGTGGACATGAACTGTGCTGTGAGGAGCCACCACACGGGTCTCCACTTTCACATCAGCCACGTCCACTCAGATACACACACACTCATCTGGGGCTTCCCCTTGCTCCCCACACCTGTGGCTTTGCACACAGAGGGGCTTCACCTAAGCCACTACTGCCCAAACTTACCTGGCCATGGGGTACTTTTACTCACAGTCAGCTGATTTAAGAGCCCCAAATGAGGGGCTGGCAGTGTGGTCCAGTGGATCAGGTCAAAGCTTGCAATCTCACATAGGAGTGCCAATTCAAGTCCCAGTTGCTCCATTTTCAGTCCGGCTCCCTGCTGATGTGCCTGGGAAAGCAGCGGAGGATGACGGCGCAAATGCTTGGGTCCAAGGACTTAAGGAGACCCGGAAGAAGTTCCTGACTCCTGGCTGTGGCCTGGCCCCACCCTGGCCATTACAGCCATCTATCTGGGGAATAAACCAGTGGATGGAAGATCTGTCTCTCCATAACTGCCTTTCAAATAAAAACCTTTAAAACACAAAAAAAGGACAGGAGAGCCACCAAGGCGCAGATGGAGCCTGTCACAGCTGGGAGACCACATGAAATGCACTTCAAAAGTACAGAGGCAAAGGACAGGAATTATGGCCTCATCCTATTCCCCATTATGACCCAGGAGGAGATGAGCTCCCTGTGGCCTAGAGGGCACATGAAGCCCAACAGCTGGGATCCTGTGGCTGTGGACAGGATGTGAATGCCGCATGCTTATGGAGATGAGGACTGAGCTGAGCTGAGCTGGGCCCACCCCTCTGGGAGGGACTGGAGAAGGGGCCCCAGGTCCTGGTGTTCCTGAGTGACAGTAGCAACAAAGCCCTGGGCACAGCTTCTTCCTTGGCTTTCTGAGTCTTGGATCCATGCTGCCCAGTGCCCAGCACAATCCCGTGAGACCCTCTGCCCCACATCCAGACGCCACTAGTGGGCTACAGAGCTGCTCAGCTCTGGGTGAGCTGAATAAGAGCTCCCCCACCCCCACCCCACTGCAACCCCAGGACACGTGACATGCCCCAGAGTGCCAGTTCCCATGGAGGACATTAACCCTGGAGGGCACAGGGCAGATGCCCCAAGTATGGAATGTAATCACCCTGACACCCATCAGGGAAGGTGTTGGCAAGGGTCACAGCTCTGGGGCCAGCGTAGGGGGAAGCCAGCAGCCAAACTGAGGGCCCATCAGGCATGGGGACCCATCTGCTGAGTGCATCTTAGGACAGTCCCAGAAGCGACCTTGGACAACTCCCTCCAACTGTGAGCTAACAGTGAGCAGACCCAGCACACAGGAGAACTGGAGGAGTGGGGGTGAGAGCAGGAAGTGTGCATGGCACCCAAGGGCTCCCGAGGAAGGAAGCCAAACCAGGAACCAGAACAGGACTCAGCCAAATCCCAAGAGCCTGGAACCCTAATGGCCAGTGAGCCCCCATGCCCGCTCTAGGCCACATTTATTTTATCAGAGATTGAGTGAGAGTGAGCAAGTGAGAGAGAAGATTTCTTTTTTTTGTTTGTTTTAAGTCACCAGACCTGTGAAATATTTTCTGATGGTTCAAATCATGTGTTTTGCATATAAAACCAAATAGCTTAAATAGGCTTTGAAATTATTCCAGTAAAAAGGTTAACTGAAAAGTAGGAAATGTAGACTCATCAACATTTAAAAACCAAAACAAGACCTGGTAAGCCAGCAAACAGCAATGGACAGGCGGCCTCCTGCCAGCCTGGGGGTGGGGCTGGGTGGGAACAGCCACCCTCATGGTAAGTGATGGCCACAGCTCTGGAATGTTGCAACCCGTCTTGCCTTGCCATCTTGCTGCCAGCAGCTCCTCAGACAGCAGTCCCTAGGCTAGCTCTAGCCTCTCTAGGGAGGCTTCCCCCCAGGACACACCTGACATGCCATTAGCCTCTTGCTGCCCTGGCCCACAGCTCTGTGACCTTGGCCTGCAGCAGCCCCGTGTAAGCTGGCCCTGGTCCTGTCCTTTTGGGTGATCCTCCCAGCCTGGAGACTCTGTGGCTGACGTATGTCAGCTCGGTCAGGAGGGTGGAGGGCTCCTTCAGAATCTAGACACATGACATCAGGAAACCGGGGGTTCCAAACAAGTAAACAAAACCTGTGTCATGCTGATAGCAAACGCCAGCTGTGGAGGGTTCCAACACAGTGGGGAAAGCCCCCAGAGTGAACCACAGGGTTTAGAAGGATTTTATGGGCTACCACAAGACTCCCCAAACAGTGCTCCAACTGAGCCGAGGTAGAGAAGGTCAGATTGCACAGCCACAATGTCCCAAGGATGGCCCAGCATGTCAGGATTCCTGGGGTGCGCAGGGCTCTGCCTTTCGCAAGCTCCGGCTCAGCTCAGCATCCAGGTTGCAGGTGCTGTCAGGTGCGGTCCCCATTTAACTGCTGCCCTCATCCAGACACCTCCACTCCAAGAATTGGTCCAAACAGGGAGTACCAGGAGCTGGAGTCTATGACTGCTGGATGACCAGGATGGCCAGAGGCACTGGCACCAAGTTAGAGGGAGAGCGCCCACACACAAGGGTCCCCACACAGGAAGGGGTGCTCAGGGACCCCCACAGCCGACTGTGGCAGTCTCCTGGAGGCCTTCACACAGCTTGCCTCCCACTACTGTATCCAAATGGCAGGGCAGCAGTGCTTAGTGACTCCATCACAGACCCTAATTTGCTCATCCTGACCATTCCCACTAGACTCCAGTGGTAGCTGTGCCTCCATGCCTCTGATGGGCTGCGGCAGCTGGGTAACACTAAGCCACTTTGCAAATCAACACACACACCTTCACGCCCCATGGTCCCAGATACCCCTGCACAAACACAGGTCACAAAGACAAAAAGGCTACTCACATGTCTCCCCAAGTCACAAAGTCACAGTAGGGAGGGAGCTTGGGAAGTCATGGCTGCCTGTCCCTCGTCCCAGCTCACTCTGGGAAAACCGGCCAGGACTCCAAGGCCAGTGCCCAGCTGTGGACCAGGTGTGGCTTAGTATGTCCTACCAAAGTCCAAATGCCTGGATGGAAAACCGCTGACCTTGGGCTCGAGCCAGACAGTGTGGTTTGGGGACAGACTTCTAGTAACAGAACCATCCTTGAGAACAGCTTGCCCCACCAACACACTCAGGAAGTGTGGGAGGGATGATCTCCAGCATGGCAGGCACAACTTTGGGTTAAACAATCTTCTGGGTGACATGGCCAGTGGTCCAGTAAGTGCCAGCAGGGGGAGGTCCGAGGCCTGGCTGGGCTTCCAATTCCTCTCCTGGACACAAAACTGTTTCCTGATTCCCCCTACACACACACACACACACACACACACACACCCACACCTGGCCCAAACATAGTGTCCAGAATGACATCGGGGCCTCTAGTGCCGGTGGCTACACGAAGGCTTCCATGGAGGAACAAATGATAGGGAACCTTAGGAGACTTGCAAGGCTACCAACAACCAAGGGCACAGCAAACCCACTGGTCCCAATTGTCACTCACCCACGAAAGTTAGAAACCCAAGGCCAGGACCCTAGCCGAAGAGAACAGTTCCAGCCAGATAAGAGTCCCCCTGCCCTCCAGGCCCTTTCCCCCTCCCCCCCCCCCCAGATGGTTCCAGACAGTTCCTAACTGGGCAGTGGCAGGTATTTTTCTGACACAATCCCATGGGCCGTTCCTGTCCTAGGGGCCACGCTTCCGGTTTTCTGGTGCCAATATTTGGTTCCGGTTTTGCTCGAGCACTTCCAGCATCTTCTCCATGTCGTGATCAGCCTCTATCACCTGAAAATCAAACACCCGAGAGGCACAGGGCTGTAGCAGCCTCTGCAGCCTCCTCCCTGGCAGCCGGCAGAGAGCAGGTGGAGGGACGCGAGCAGGAGAAGTGGAGAGAAGGAGGGGGACCAGGCAGGGGCACGTACAACAGAATGCTGGAGCCACTGGCTTGCACTTAGAGGCCCACTCGTCATTTTATACCCACCCCAAGTTATTTTTTTTTTAATAATGGGGAAATAAATTTAATGAGGGTTTGTCAAAGAGTTTGTGGAAAATGGTTAGAATTAGGGTTAGGGTTAGAAAAACTACATGCATTTTGAAACCATTTTTTGTTTTTTCTGCACCACAAGACGCTTGACATTCCATTTTCCTGCAGGCTTTGTGAAGTCCCTTACACCTTGTTACAAATTCACTCTGGTGAGTTTCACGCTGTGACACCACACTGCTGTTCGGGGTGCCACATTAACATCCCCAACACAAGTTCTAAGGGCTTGCATGGCGTTCCCTGTGCCACACTGGTGCAGGCAGCAAGCCCAGGTTGCCCCCTGGCCTGAGGAAAGATGCCTCACAGCAGCTGGTGAGGATCCTTCATTGTCAGGCAAGAGGGGAGAGTGGCCCTACACAGCCAATGCGGGTGCCCAGGCCACACCTTGCCACAGACCATGATAGCACCGCGTGTTCCCTCTGCTGCCCAAGTCCTCATTCAGCTCTGAGTCACCCAATGAAGGAGGAAGGTCACAGCAGATGACTAACACTCAAGCCCAGGGCCACAGGCTGTCTGGCGGACCACACTGTGCTCAGCAGGTGCCATGGCTCCAGGACAGGTGTTGGCGGCCTTCCCTCAGGTGTGTCCCCTGGTGCTCAGCTCAGCCTAGGAGCAGGCACACAGGGACGCAGGGGGCTGCCCTTCCAGCTTTCCCACCTCCCCAAGTCTGAAGGGCTTGCCCCACCCCTGCCGTGCTGCAAAGTGCAGATACTCCCTGGTCATTCCCCATTCTGGGAACCTACCAGAACAGGAGCTGCCACAGAGAAACGGTCTCCAGCGATGAGCCACTCCTCGTAGAGGTGGTGGATGGCATGCAGATACTCCTGCCAAAAGTCCAGGAATGCAGGCTGTTGGAGGGGGCAGGAGCAAAGGCTTCCCACTAAGGGTCTCAGGGGACTCGGTGGTGGAGGGGGGACGTTCAGCAATGACCTTGGGACAGGAACCCGCAGCAGCCAAGCAGGCTTGATGGGGAAGCAGTGAACACAGAGCAAGGTGGAGAGTTGGCATGGGCACCTATGATCAGAGGCAGCATCAGCCACCCCACTCTGCTCCACCGGGCTTTCCTCTCAGAACCAGCCCTTCCCCAAGTGCCTGAGGCAAAGCCAAGTCTAACAGCCACACCTGGCTTTGCCTGCGTCCTGCTATTTCTACTGTGGCCAGGGCCCCGGAGTCCAACACAGTAACTGGGCATCATGGTGTCCAGCCTCCACACATCCCTACTGTCTTGCTGCCAAGACAACCGTGGCCACTAAGTCCTCACCCAGCCTCTGCAGACCAGGGCGCTTGCTGCCATGTTAACTGAGTGACCACTAGGTGCCAGGTCAGGGGACCTGTGCAGAGGACACACAGGGAATCCAACGTCAAGGCCTGAGGCTTAGCAAGGGACGAGGCCTAAGCCATATCACAGTGCTTGTCAGGGGAAGAGGTGTCATACTGTGGGGAAGGCCAGGGAAGGCTTGCTGGAGGAGGTCACACCCCCCATGGTTTACGTGTGGCCACAACCAGCTCTTCATGGCTTCAGCATGAAGGCAGGGGGTGGATGGAGTTAAGGCCAGAGAAACTGCTGTGACGAGGGAATAGGGAATCTTGTGCCTCAGGCTACAAGGTATGGACTTTGTCTGAATCAATCGTGAGGTACTAAGGGGTCTGGACTAGGCAAATCAATGGTGTGGTATGCCATAGTGAAAATACCACCCTTGTGGGCAACAGTCAGGGGTGGACGACCAAGGGGCACATGGTGGGTGGATGGGCCAGGCCACTACGATGGCCCCTGTGCAGCCAGTACAGCCCTATGTCAAGGTGACTCCTCTGCACCAGGGTCTGTGCTGAGCTCCATGGAGGCAGCAACGAGCCAGAGGGCTCCACCTTTCCGCCCAGAACTCAGCCTGGTGACAAGGCAAAATGGGATGCATGGCAAAGTCACTGCTGGGAAGCCCAGAGCCCTGGTGGTGCCCAGCCTGGAAAGGGGCCAGAGTGCAGGGCTGCAGCACCCTAGCTGGGGCCACCAGGAAGCCAGGATGCATCCTCCCATGCACTTAGCTCCTGAAACACAGCTCACAATGGCTACCACGTGGCAGGTGGGACCAGGACCAGGGCCAGAGTTCCAGGGACGGGGTTCCGGGAACAGGGACCTTGGCCAAGCCAGGGACCTCTTACCAGCGGAATGACCTTCTCCTCCTCCCTGCACCTCTTCTTCAGCCTCTGGTAGCAGTTCTCAGGGGTAGTCCGCAGATACACTGGGGTTAAACACACCCAGGGGCTCCAGTTACTCTGTGGCAGGCATAGAAACCACAGCCGAGGAAGAAGGGAGGAAGGCATGGGCAAGGGGTGGAGAGCAGTGCCTGCCGCAGCTCAACTCACCACCGACCACCACCTTCTGTCCCCTTTCACTGTCACCCACCAGCAACAGGCAGCCTGGCACAGGGCCTGGCATACAGCAAGTCCCAGCAGATGTGCCATGACTCTGTCCCTCCCTGTCTTTGCAAACCAGAAAAGCCTGTCACACCACAGCAGGCTCCTATTTGGAGATGGCTGTGGCAAAAGAAGGCAGCATGATGGACAGAGACCAGCAAGCGTCCTCCATGAGCCCAGAGGTCCCAGGGCAATGCGGACAAGGGTACCCCAAGGGTCCTAGGAGGTGGGGAGGGAGGGAAAGGCTGGCTTACCTATCAAATCAACATGCACATCCAAGTTCCTCCCAATCCAGTTAAACCACTCAGACAAGACCACATAGTCCACCTCAGGCATCTTCCCACTGTGGAGAGAGTTGCCAGGGCGTCAGCAGCCTCAGAGAGAGCTTCTGGGGCCGTGCCATCCCCCAGAAAGAGAGTTTAGGGGTTTTGTTACACGAGCATTGCCAAAACAGCAAGACAACAGGACCTTCGGTCATTGCACATGAGTAACGACAGCAACTGGGCTGTGGCAGGCCTTATACCATCCAGGGTAGCCTGCTGCAGCCAGAGCCCTGCTATGTGCCATCTGAACTCCAGATGAGACAAGGACATGCACGCTCATTCCTGGAGAACAGAGGCAGAGTTCAGGCTGGGAGACAGAAGAGGTTGAGGAGGCAGACAGCAAAGCCAGGTTCATATCTGGAAATGTGTTTGCTGGAAACAATCCCTGCACACTTGCTGCCTAAATTACTGAAGAGCTAGGTCTGGGTCTGCGTGCATCATGGAAGGCCCTGCTCTAATGGACACGGGGCGCACTGCAGCATCTGATGTGAAAGTCCCCAAGAGAGGAGAGACCATGTCTGTGCCCAGCATTCCTGAGGGATCGCTGCACCACGGGGGCATCCAGAAGGGACAGAGACAGAGGGATGGCAGCATTTGGGCAGGTCCCACAGCAGTTAGGGGTCCTCAAAGCCCAACAGAAGAAGGCTTTGCTGCTTGCCTTATTTTAAAACTTATGTATGTGAAAGGCAAGGAGAGCAAGATCTTTGTCTGCTGCTTCACTCCCCAGAGGGCTGTACCAGCCAGGGCTGGGCCAGGCCAAAGCCAGCAGCTTCATCTGGGTCTTCCACATGGGTGGCAGGGACCTGCAAGCATATGGGCTGTCACCTACTGCCTTTGCAGGTGCCTTAGTGAAAGCCCAAGGGGAAGCAGAGCAGCTATGCCTCAAAACAGCACTCCAACATGGGACATGATAACCCAAGCAGTGACTTTACTGGCTGTGCCCCAGCTCCTGGCCAGCAGCTCTCCCTTTAACACCCTTCCTGTGTGGGTGCCACTGGGATTGGCTCAGCCCTGCACTTGGCAAACTGGCTCTTGGCAGCAGGGGCTGGCCTGCCCGTGTCCATGCTGTGTGCAATGGAAGCTGCTCACTGGGACTACAGCAGCACAACCCACAGGCAAGGGCATGGAAGAGGCTGGATCCGCCCAGCTGTGTATAAATTCACTCCAGCCCCTTGGGAGGAAGGAGAGGGCCAAGGAAAGAGGGAGGCGAGAAGCTGGGAAAGCAGCTCAGGGAGGTGCTCTAAGGACTAAGCAGTCCCAAGAAGGCTGATGGGACGGCTTACACGTGTCGACAAAGATGCTATCACCTCCCAGAGCTGGGACTGTGGAACACAAGCACAGGCCAGGCCGCCCGCAGCCCAGAGAAGCCAACACCAAACCAAAAGCACCATGGCCCAGGGTCCTGAGTACCTGTGGGCATGCTGCAGACGCCCAGGGATGGGTTTGATTCCCACAGCTCCCACAGGAGCAGCATAGGATGTCCAGCCCAGGGCTCAGCAGCAGCGAACTGAGGGGCTTTGCTAGTAGCAACTCCTATCCCAGTGCAGGAAAAAGAATCCAGCTGACCTGTTTGTTGTAACCTGCCCCACCTCCTACTCCCTACCAAACCAGGGCCCAGAGAGCCCTGATGGCACACAGCATGGATAAGAACAGATGCCTGCCCCACGTTCAAACACTAGCTGCCTTGTATACTCCTTCTCCTTATTTCACAAACCTCACAGGGCTAGGATTAGTCCCAACTTAGAGACGAGGGAGGCAGATACAGAGAGGGTCATGTTCGAGCCTGGCTCCCCTGCCACCACCAAACTCATGTCATGTCCTCCCTGCTCTGTCGCTGGAGCACAGATCATGCCCAGAGTGACCTGGGCCCTAGGAGAGCCACAACTCTTGGACCCTTAACCCAGGCTGACCAGAGCTGGGGCAAGACAGGCCAGTGAGAAAGGTAGAAGGCCCAGGAGAGTAGACCTGGCTGAGCTCTCTGCAGGGTGACACTATAGCATCCTGCCAAAGAACTCAGTGCTCCATCACAAGTGGCTTCACTTCTGGGGAACAGCAGAAAGCTCTGAAAACTCCCAGTTACTCGGTAATATCGCACTGTGGATGAGCAGCTTACTGCAGGAGCTCCGGGGAGACATCACAAATCCAGCCCTGACCCATTCCTCCTGTCACCCATCCCTCTGCAGCTCTGGCCTCCTACTGTGCCTCAGAGAGGCAACCTACAGCCCGTGGCTGAAGCAACCAGAACACAGGTGAAATGCAGGGACCACAAGCAGTGGGCAGCACAGCCTGGAATGCCATCCCAGGATTCGACTCGCATTCTTATGACCCCCCACAGGCCCAGGGAGGCCCCAAGGGAGCCATGGGAGCAGAACGCTGGCAGGAGAGTGCCAAGGTGTGGGGCCAGGAAGCTAGCTCCCCGCTGGCCAGCTGGCTGCGGGCCACACTGCTCAGAACACAGCCTCACTGGGGCGCCTGCGAGGAAGGTGGACAGGGGTCCGGCCTAGCCTCACTGAAGCAGACCTTGCATGACAGTAAGGTGCACAGGACTTGCAGGGAGAAGCCTGTGCTGAGGCTGAGAGGGAACAGCCTCCCCAGGGGACCAAGGACCTGCCTTTAGGGGGCTTCTACGGGCTCTGAAGCCAGGAGCTACAGCTGCCCCTGGCCACTTCCTCATCCCCTGCAAGCCCCATATAGCAAAGTGCCCAGCACCACTCACCACCACCTCGTGACCACGGGCAGCCTCCACCCAGGCAGGCAGGGACAGTGGCCTCGTCATCATATCTCAGTTCCTCATCTGCTGATGGTCTCAAAAACCAGAAGACAACCACAACTCCTGTCCAGGCAGTCACCTGAATTTCCAGGGAGTAATGGGCAGGTCCAGGTCACACAGCAACGCCCTGCCCCTCTTGGGCACTCTGGGGTGCGTGGCTGCAGCAGGGGGTACTCCACAAGGCTCACCCACTGTCCTCAATGAGAAGTGAGGAAGCTATTGTTTGCGGTAGGAGCACAAGAACACATTACAAAGCAGAGCACAAAACCCAGATGAATCCCAGGACCAAAGGTGAAACTGTTAAGAACAGGTGGCTGCTCTGAGCCCCAGGGATGAGGTGGGCAAGGTGAGGAGGCAGCACAAGTTGGGGGAAGTCAGTGGGGGGGGATTGGTTTAGGGGCTCCCTGCAGACCGTGGTGGGTGGCCTAGCCCTCCAGGGTGTCCCAAGGCCATGTCTTTGGTTTCATCAAGTGAAGCTGGGGGCAAGGTCTCAAGGTTCCGACCTGGCTTTCAGGGAAATATGTGCCCACTTGGAGGTTGCAGAGGCTTAAAGCTATCAGAACAGAAACAGGAACTCTATGAATTTCTTCTTGAAGTTCATTGTCCTCCAAAGAAATCCTAGCCCCAGCTGCCAAGCATTCTGGGAAGACTGGAGGAGAGAATAGAAGAGTGTAAAAGCTACATTCTCTTGCTGTACTGCCCACAAAACAGGCCAGGCCATGGCCCTCGTGGCCTGGACCAGTGCCACGGCCACAGCAATTAGGAAAGGCAGGATGGACTCATTGAAGGTGCAATCATGAGGGAGGATGGGTGTGAGCTGGCAAAGTCATGATCATGAGCTAAACCATGGCTCAGGATGAGATGGGACAGACAGCTCCCAGGGTGTTCCTCTGGTGGTGGGTGGCCAACAGTGGGGGCAGGGGAGCTGTAGGATTACTGACTTTACCAAGTCCAAGGTGACCAAGGAGTCAAGCAAAGACCACAAGACCCAAACTGCACACCCCCATCTGAAGGCCCATGCAGAGTCACATCCCTGACCTGGGATGGTCCACTCAGCAGGAGTTGCCCACTGCCACACACAACCCACTCAGCTGGCTGTCATCAGCATGCGCTCGTGCGCACACACACACACACACACACACACACACACACACACCAGTGGCATTCTCTTCACAGGAAGCCCTACCCTACCGCCCCTTCTTACACCACAAGTTACACTTCTAGTTACAGCAGTAAACAAAACCACTCTGCTCTCTTCTGCCTGTCCTCCTCTGGCTAAGGAGCCAGGCAGCAAGAAGCCAAGACACAGCTTTGGGCTGAGTCAGCCCAGCGGGAGACTGCCCACAGCTGGGTGGGGATGAAACTCTGGCATAGGGAGTGCTGCCTCCTGGAAGAGCAAGCCCAGCAGCAGAGCCTGAGGCAGGGGCCAAAGTCATGGTCAGCACTTGCCCTGGCTGCCAGCCCCAGGCCCTGCAGCTTTGGTCTGATGTGCAAGATGGGATGGAGATTTAAGACTAGACAAAGGCTCTTACTGGAAAGGGGAGCCACACCTCAAATCAAGGTAGCTCAGGACCCACAAAGTAGCCCCCTCAAAGGAAAGCAGGCTTTCCCAGGCAGGTAGAGCCTGGGAAACAAACAGGCCAGAGGCCAAAGAGCAACCAGGGGTACCAGCCAAGGGTCAGCTTTGTGCTGGATCCACTCTGGGGAAATGAAGCAGACTCAGCCCCTTTCCTATAGGAGTTGGTGGTTGAGATGCCCCACATCCCACATGGAAGTGCCAGGGTCCCTGCTCCACCTTCCTGACAGTGCAGACCTTGGGAGGCAGGGTCAAGTAACTAGGCTACTGCTACCCATGTAGAACAGCCAGATTCAGCTGCCAGCTACCAGCTCCCTCCTGGGCCCAACCCAATCATTGCAGACATTTGAGGCATGGCACCAAGAGACAGGAAGATCACTCTCACACATCATTTTATAAAAGTCACACCACATGACACATGCACTACAGTAGACCAAATTCTCTAGTAAACCTGATTCTCTACCTCCCCCAATAACCTTGCACTTCCCCATGGAACTCTCTAGGCCCTCTCACCTCCCATGGCTGGGCTCCCGGGACCACGTGACCTGCAGCAGCCAATGGACTGTGACCCGGTCAGGAGCCAGGCTTTGAAAAGGCGCTCCTGCCCTCTGCCCCTACAGCAAGAGATGCCCGGTCAGCCCATGGTCCCAGGAGGCAGACAGGTGTCACTTCAAAGAGGCTCAGCTGCCTACTGAGGTTGGGTTAGGATAGCCAGACCCCAGACAACTCACTGATCCAGGCCATGTTCTGCAGAGCTGGCTGGGCAGGAACTACGGGCCCAGCCTATGGAGTTTTTGGATTGTCTGTTACATAGTATGACCGGAGTGATGGGTAATTGATATAATGCAGTTGGTATCTGCCATGTGTCCACCAAACATATCGCCAAAAACTTAATTGTTCAATAATTTATCGGGAACTGGGCAAACCACGTACCTTCTGTATAGGTTTTCTACAAAAACATATCTGGCGCTGTGAATCGACCGCTCCATCAACCGAACAGGTGATGTCTAAAGGGAAGCAAGAAGCGGTCACTACCTCAGGCGAGAGGAGTGAGCACCTGGAGCTCACTGAAGGCGAGGATACAGAGGCCACCGACAAAAGTGCTCCCACCTCCCCTTCCTAAGAGACACGGACTCATAAAAGAGTGATGGCTATGGCTGCAGGGACCCAAACCCACGCCCAAGGTGCAGCTCTGCGGCCGTGCCAGGTTTTTAATAGCTGGTAGGAAGATTCTGGCTGTTTCAGAAGGTCCCTACTGCACTGTCCTCTCTTGCAGGATCTCCTCAACCACCCTCTGTCCTAACAGGTTCTACCCGTGGTCACAACCCAGCTGATGGAAGGGGCCCACACAGCTATATCTGCGCCTCCTCTACTTCTGCCCCCAATACCTGATGCCCACGTCAGGCTCAACCTGTCAGACTCTTTCAAGAAAGGGATGACAAGCCAGGCTATGTGAAGGTCAGGCAGGCGACCCTCAGACAGGCAGACAAGGCCCACACTCATGTTCCCAGGAGGACTGGCTAAAACAGATAGCTGGGCCCTTATTCCCAGTCTCTGATCCTCACACAGCTGCAACGCAGGAAAACCTGGTCACCAGCTGGGCTTTCCTGTGAGTATTCCTCCACGGCTACTGCATCCCCGAACTGGAAGGTTTAGGGGGAGGTTGCAGCCGGGCACCTGAGACGCACCTGCGGGCGCATGTGCTGTTCCAGCATGGTGAGCTGCACGTACGTCTGCAGTGTGAGGCCCCATCGCCAGGCATCTCGGTACATCAGGCTCTGCAATAGACAAGGTGCACCTGTGGGACCTGGCCTCACCACTCACTCGCCGTAATTTTGTCAAGCCTATATGGCAGCAGAAATGGCCGCAACAGGGTCTCAGGGCCAGAGACTATGTGGCAACTACGCGATGGCCCAGTGACAGCCATTCTTGAACACAAGCCCCATTGTGGTCTGTCCTCCCCTCAAGTGAGCTGGCTGGACTTGTATTCATTTACTGTCGCCCTCCCCTCCCTCCTTGGTACTGAATTCTAGGTGAAGGCCACTCACTGCTTCAGAGCCACTTCCGTCTTCTTGCACCTCCCACCACTCTTCAACCCTTGAGCTTCCTTAGTGCCCCCCATATCTGCCCAGCATGGTCCCAGATCTACCCAATGGGATCCCATGGGACTCAGGCCAGAGGCCTGCTTTTTCCTACTGCCCAAACACTTCCTCCAGACATCTGCCAAGCCACTGCTCAAAGGCTATCCCGTTTGAGACAGAGGCCCACCCACAGCCCATCCATTCTTCTGCCGCCTGTTACTACAAACCTTCTGCTCCGGAGCCCAGCACCACTGTTCTCATTCTGCGCCTTGGCACATTTCTGTTCTCCGTTTTCCTCTGGATACAAACTAATGCAACAAAAAGGTCTGTTTTGTCCAGAATGCAGGCCTGTGGGAGACTCACCAGTCCTGACATATTCTGGCATAAAACTCATTGGAAACACCATTCCTTCCTAAAAGACACAGAGATCAAGCAGGCCCAGGCTTCTGAGGCAGGGGTGCTGGCCTGGGACATGGTATCCCCAATCCCTGACATTGGCATTTAGCCCTGGCTGCCACGGAGCGCAGATGCACCTAAAGTTTTCTGACACTCAACAAGAGATGGGCCCTGGAACTTCATCATGGGCATGGAGGTGAACTGCTTTTCATCCCCATGGAATTCCTTACAGATTCTGCAAGCTTCTGCTTTAAGAAAAGTGCTTTCCCGTCCTTCAATGTACTTCTGGGCACCCATCCCCATCCACTGTATTTCATAGGAGATTATCTTTCTGCCTCCCCACATGGGGATACCAGAGCCAGGATAGGGGCTTTGAATTACTCACTGCCCCAACACTCAACAGCATCTGCCACATGGCACGCATGCAATAAAATAGAGCTGAGTAAACAAATGAATGAATGAGCAAGCACTTGTAAAGTGGGGAGCAGTGGGCCTCCATTCTACTCTAGCAAAGAAGGGTGAACCAAATGGGCTCCGTCCCTGGCCCTATAGAAGCACACATGGAGATGCCAACTGCGTTGCTGACAATGAGAAGGCAGCACCTGCTCCCTGGTCCAAAGTTCAGACCCACATCTGTCCTCTACCCACTGTGTGACCTTGGGCAACGTGAAGAGACTAACTGTCCCCAAGCCATGAGAGCCAACATTGCTCTAAAGCTCTCTCTGGCAAGAGCCAGATCTTCACCATCTTGTTCACACAGCCAAAGCAGAGCCTCGTGGGCAGGGAAGAAACACAGTCAGTCCCCTTGCTTGAGGAAGCAGACAGGGCAGGATGGGGCGGGGCAGGGCGAGGCAGCTCCTGATACTCAGCAGTGCCAAGTTCAGATCCGCTCAGGGGTGCACCAACAAACCTGGCTACTTTGTGAGGCCCCGGGGGCTAGGCCTGAGGAAACCTGGATTCTGAAGGTTCTAGAATGAGATGGGGCATGGGAGGCAGGAGGTGGACAGCCGGGCAGCCATCTGGGGGGCAGCTGAGATCATCTGCTTGGAGCGGGGAGTAGGCCCGGTTTCTGGGCACGTCCCCACCACCCAGGCCTTGGGGACCCTGGCGCTCAGAACACCATTAAGATGCTCTTCTTCCTCCTCTTCCTCCCTCTCCGCTTTCAACTTGGCTTCTGAGGGCGGAAGAGGTCTCAAGTGCAGGCCCCAGCCCCACATCCCGCAGCACAGAAGGATATGCTGGGGCTTCATGCAAGAAACAACCTCACTCACCAGAGGATTGTGGCCACGCACGTTTCTCCACTTGGACACAGGTTCCATTAACACCTACAAGGCAAGAAAACATCAGAGTGTGGCCATGTCTCAGCTTAACGCCCTGTGACTGTGGGCAAGTGCTAACACAGAGAGAAGGGGACAAGCAAGATTCCAGGTGCCTGGCTCAGCGGGCCAAAAAAGCTGATCCACCCCCTCGGTGAGGCCACAACTCCTTCCAGATGTTGTTTCCTGATGTGACTCCCAGATAGGACCTTAGAGGCACTATCCCGCTCTGCTGCGGCATTGTGGCAGCAAACCAGTATCCCACAGAAGCGCCAGCTTGCATCCCAGCTGTGCCAGTTCTGATCCAGTTCCCTGGTTATTGCCTGGGAAAGCAGAAGATGGTCCCATGAGGTGATGATCCCTACAGCTGGCACCCAACACTGCACTGCTGAGCTAAGGTGTTCACCTTCATTTTCTTACCCCTGCTGCTGTCATCAGCAGGCTCTTAGGTCTTCAACAAGAATCCAGGCCTTCCAAAATGCCACCAGCATCCCAGCATGGGGGAGGTGCTGTGAGCTCCTCAACTCCAGCCCCACGAGTCGAGTCGTGGTGGAGTCATCATCACAGGACACACCCACACATCAAGTTCACAGCTAAGATCTATCATGTGACAAAAGCAGCAACCAGGAAAAGATGCTTGGGATGGTCTATAAGGGGCCCTCTCCCAGCCTAGTTGCAGAGGACATGAGCTCAATTCTCCCAGTAGGTTAATACCAGTATTGACCTAAGCCTGGGGCATCAGGGTTCCCAGGGGCGCTCAGTCTCATCCAGGGGAACTGTGCCGGACATGGTACCACAAGCAGGTTAACACCAGAGAGCTCTTCTCATCAATCAGCAATGCTGGAACTCCATTCCCAGCCAAGGACTGACCCTGCAGGCAGGTCTGCCCATGGCAACCTCCTCAGGCAGCAGGTGGACGGACATAAGTAAGATGGAGACACACAGTGGTCTTCCCTAGCAAGCCACATACCATTCAAGGGGAGCAAAAACAAGACAAGACAGAAGGAGGGCAAGAAAATGACTTTTAATGATGCAACTACAAGATTTGTAGCAAACCACAAAAAGCCACACACAGTGAATGGGACACCACTGGCAACAGGAAGAGGACAACAGGTTAGGCCCCCAGTGTGGACGACTGTGAAAAAGTTTGTGGGGTTGTTTTTAGCGACGGGGCTTTCAATGAGCCCAAGTTGTACTGACTGTCCTTTGTGCACACGGAAGTGAGGAGTGCACACTGTACATTCCGGCCTTGTTCAACAGCCTGACTTCTCTTCTTCCCCTACAGACCTCCTGGTGGCCAGATGGGGATAGGGTGGAGAGGGGGATATGTTTAAGTGTACAATACACTCACTTCCAGAGACCTAGTAGGAAAACCGGAAAAACCAGAATGCAAACTAGCCCACTGGTGGATTATCTTACATTTGACAGAGGTGTACAGGGACAGAAACAGATAGGCCAGCCATGGCCTGGGCTGAGCCAGGCTGAAGCTGAGACTCCATCCCAGACCTTCCCCCTGGACGGCAAGGCCCTAGCTACTTGAGCCCTCACCCGCTGCCTCCCAGGATGGAAGCAGGATGGAAGCAGAGCCGGGCCTTGAACCCAGGCACAGTGATACGGGATGATGGTATTCCAAGTGATATCTCAACTGTTAGGCTGAACACTTGTCCCCACTGATGGTTTTTACAATGATCACATATTGACATGATAGTATCAGGCAGGGTGTGATATTCAATAGGTTATTCTTTTTGCTTTTTTTCCCATGAGGTTATTAGAAACATAAATTATGAGGCTAGTACCAGCTTAGGAGCATAGGAGCACCAATTCCAGTCCACTTCTGAGCTAGCTCTCTGCCAATGTAACTGGGAAAAGCAGCAAGAGATGGCCCAGATGCCTGGGCCCCTACACCCATGTTGGAGACCTAGAACAAACTCCTTGCTTTAGCTTGGCCCAGTTCTGGCTGTTGTACCATTTGGAGAGTGAAGTAGTAGACTGAAGACTTCTCTCTGCTACCTCCTCCCACACACACTCTCTCCCTTTCAAATAAATAAAAACAACAGTAACTCTGTGTCATCCTCCATAAATTATCCTAACAAGTGTTTTTGGGTCCCCTTGCTCCCAGCGTGGAGGTCATACCTCGACATCTGTGGTGTTGGAGAAGAACTCCAGGCATGTCGTCTTCCCGCTGGCAATGTTGCCTTCCACACAGATCTGAAAAAGACAAAAGTGTGTTAGCCAGAAACTGGGCGCCTGGGGGAATGGCAGGAAATGATTTCCAGGAAAGGCTCTCAGGCAAACTGCATGACTGGTTGGATGCTGAAACAAATAGCAAGCTGACCGGAGAACTAAAGTCCCTCCTCACTAGCCCCAAGCATCCACAGAAACAGATCAACTACCTCGCCCTGGCTGGACCCAAGCGGTCCCTCTAGGCCCTACCTCACTCTTTCAATCCCCTGGTCTAGCCACAGCCTGTCCACCAGGCCCCTCCTCAGATGGTTTGGGCCCTTAACCTAAGCTCCTGTCCCCTTAACCAGAGCCCAATTTAAAGGTCTTGAGGGGGTTGCACATGGCACATTATCTAGAATCTAACATGTTGTTTCATGTGAAAAAAGCACTCAGTCACATGAAAACTGCCAAAATCCAAACAAAGTGGCTGTGATTATCCCATAAATAACTGGTGCAGCAGGTTAAGTTCCCACTGTCTGAAGGGTTGTGCTTCTCCGCCTTGGCCCAATGCCCGCAACAGTGGTATGAGAGCTTTTACGTACTTTACAAGGAAGCTACAATTCAAACCAATTACACCACAGTGCTAGGTGTGGGATATCGGTTTCAAAGCCCTGCAGGATTCCCCTGCCTGAGCCAGCACTGGTCTGCAGCGGGCTCTCTCCATGTGGGAGTGGTGGGGCATCAGCTACAGAAGCACCACCACCTGAGTCTGTTGAACACAAGGTGGCAGCAGGCAGCAGTGAGACCCTTGCGTAAGATTTGCAGACCACCAGAGAAAGAATATCTCAGCCAAATATACAAAAAGAATGTAGATGGCCTTTATTCCAGGAAATCACTGTCACGGGCTTCCCTTCCCCATGCAGGGGAAAGGCAGATGTGGAGGGGCTGCAAAGGGAAGAAAAGCCAGAAGAATGGTGCAAGGGACGGGGGAGGGTTTAAACTCCCTTCAACACAAAAGCTGGAGCAGAAGCTGGAGCAGGGATCACTACGGCCCTTCATTGGTGCAGCAATGATCTCACTGCCTCAAGGGCCCGCCAGAACTGGGCCCTCCATTCCAGGTTATAGCCTGGGACAGGGCTCAAAGCAAGCTCTACACTCCTCCGGTTACCATGGTAACCATCACCTTGGAACCAGGCTTCTGCTTGGGGCCCTCCAACCAGAGGCTGCATGGCTGCATGGCTGCATGGCTGCCGTGCTGGTGGCTCAGGAGTCCAACTGACCCAAGCAGGGAGGGGGGCTCTAAGTCAGAGGAAACAGCACACAGCAGACACCCTACAGGGGCAGGGGCAGGGTGGCACATATAGGTACAGAGGGACCCATCTAGGGAAATAAGGGCCATGTGGCTGGCTCCATAGACACAGCGCAGAAAGAGTTCACAGGCAGACCTGGCAGGCCTCATCTCACGATTCCCAGAGGGCTTCAGGCACACTCACGGAAAATCCCAGCAACATCTGCCTTGCCTGGGCACCCACTGTATGGGACTATGCCCAGTGACACTTCCTCTTGCTCCAGTCCTAGCAAGTATCTAAGGAACTAGACAAATATTTCCACCACAGACAAGTCTACCCTCCAATTCCCACCAGCTCACTCCTTCAGAACCCCAAACTCCAAAATCAACCCAAGTGAAAGTGGCAAAAAGGCAGAAAGGGACCCCACTAGGAGGACTAATGAATGTGACTTTCTTGTGGCTCTTGGGGGCAAAAATTACTTTTCCCGGAGCTGTATTGTGATACAGCTGGCTAAACTGGCACCTGCGACTTTAGTATACCATTTGAGTCCAGGCTGCTCCATTTCCAATTGAGCTCTTTACTAAGGCACTTGGGAAAGCAGAAGATGGGTCAAATGCTTAGGCCCCTGTCACCCATGGGGGAGATAGGATGGGGTGGAAGGAGTCAATGGGTGGGTATCTAGGATGGCCTTTCACAATCATTCCCCAAGCTTTAACAGTCCAAGCACACCTGAAGGCCACGAGGGAAAACCTTTCCACGCTAACCTCTGTGTAGATGCTAGGGAGGGAGAACAAGGGCCTGGCCCCGGGGAGGGAGAGCCAAGGGCCAAGGGTGGGGGGCCAGCCTGTCTTAGCCCTGACAACCCTCTTGCATCTGTACTATGAGCACAGAGGCTCTCATTCTCCCCCCTCCAAAGCTAAAACCAAAATTAACCTACAGTGGCGCTGCACATAAAAAGAGACTTACCACTGACTTTTTCTCTTTTTCATTTTCTCTACCTTTATCTACAAAACAAGACCAAAAAAATCAACTTGTAAACCCAGTTTTTAAAACTCACTCTTCTCCATCCCAGCTTGCAAAAAGGACATGTCTGTGCTTGCTCCCCAGGCTTAAACCTGGTTTCCATTTCTGGAGCCCCTGGAGGATGAGTGGAGGCACCTGCTTGCGATCCTGCCTGGAGTCAGGTGCGCACATCAGGGCCCCATGCGTGCGCAAGTGCTTCCTCCAGACCGGCTGTGTGCCCTTTTGCACACACGTCGTATTTCAGAGGTTTATGGGAAGGGATACACGAAAACGCCAGGAGTGGATGCCAGGTCCGGGTGTGGGGCAGGGACCGGCGGCGTCGCCCAGGCTCAGCAAGGCTTTCTCGGGGCAATTCAACCGAGTTGAATTCAATTCCCGAGTCTAGGCGGCCTCCAGGATCTATGCTCCTCCATTCTCTGACTGGAGCCTGGTGAGAGGCCGCTCGCAGCTCCCACCTAACCAGCCCCCCTACCCCCCAAAATCAGACTAGGAAATGAGCCGGGAGCCCTGAGCCCTGCCGCCACTCTCCGCGTCCCTTTCCCAACCCACAGCCCAGGCGACACCCGAGTCGCGGGAGTCCTGGTGACGGCTCGGCCCAACACCTCCGCACCCCCAGGGAAGGAGTTTCGGGGTCGGGAGTCCACGATGCGGGGGTTTGGTGGTGGTGGGGGAACCACATCGCGCCGCCGGCGAGGGGAGCAGACAACCTGAGTAGCCCGGTGGCCAGGCTGGCCGCTGCGCCCCGCTGCTCCCCGAGCCCACGCAGCGTAGCGCCCGGGCGGCCCAGCCCCGCAGCGGCTGCAGCAGCATGGCCAAGAAGAGGGAGACCTCGGCAGCCGGCTTCCTTCCTGCCCGAGCGCGGCCCGCAGCACGTCCCGCCTCGGCGCTCCGCCCAGGGCCGGCAGGCGCCCGCGAGCGGCAGCTGGGCCCGGGCCCTTAAAGAGACCTCGCCGCTTTTCTGATTCCCTGGGAAAAGGCTGGATTTCTAATCCTTGCAGGGAAGAGGGAGGTAGGGCGGGGGTGGGGAGAGGAGTGCTAATGATTGCGAATTACTTCACCAAGCATCTACTCACCTGTATTCTTGTCACTGCCATTCTTGGAGGTGGAGAGTTGCGCAACCTGTTCACGTTGATCAAAAATATTCATTAAGTGGCAGAGTGGAGTTCCAGCCCAAACCTCTTGCTTGGAAATCAGTAATCTTTCTTCTCTGCAGCCTGCACTAGATTGCTTGGGGAAGACCACACCCAACATACCAACTAGACAGACAACTAGCGAGTGGAAAGGAACGCTGCACCTCCTGGATCTGCTCAGCAAAAATCCTGCCTTGGGGCTGGCGTTGTGGCACAGGCGGTAGCCAAGGCAGCATCCCGGATGAGCACTAGTGGGTGTCCCGGTTGCTCCACTTGGGATCCATCTCCGTGCTAATGTACCTGGGAAAGCAGTGCTGGATGGCCCATGTGCTTGGGTCTTCACACCCACGTGGGCTTAGGCCTCTGCAGCCCTTCGGGGAGTGAACTAGCAAATGAAGAACTCTGTCTCCCTCTCTCCCTGACTTAAAAAAAAAAAAAAAAAAAATCCAGCCAAGCCTATCAGTGACAGGGAGTCACAGTTCCTAGAGCCTACATGGAGAGGTTCACACACACTGTAAGATGCTGGCAGCCAGGAAACCATTGGCCAGTCTGCTGTACATCTGTACTGGGAAACCAAGCCTTGTGTCTTGTGCTTCCAGCACAGCTGCTGCATACCTGGCAGGGGGACAGCGGGGGGTTGGGGGGGATGCAGGGGACGAGGATGCTCCCTTGTCAGCAAACTTCAGAATTAACATTTTTGTGACTTTCGATGACGGCACGGGAGTTAACAGCTGCTCAGATCAGACTGCATCCACTGGACTGAGGCTAAGAAAGGGCAGGAGCCACAGACAATGAGTGGCCTGCGACTATGGCCACATTATCCCAGGTAGAATTTCAGTCACATAATGGGGGCAAGATATATTTCACATTCCCACTGAAAAAAGAACTGACTCCCCCCCCACCCCCCCCACTCCCGTGTAACTCCAAGTTGATTTCAAGAACTGGAAGAGCCTACAGCTGTGATAGGAAAAGTTAGCACCAGTGGTAGGCAAAAGCAAAAGCGAATGTCTGCTGGACAGGTAAGGGATGCCCTGGGAGCAGAGATGGGGATGGGGCCCGAGGCCCAGGTCACTGGTTCAGGCTTCCCAGACTCAACACCTGCTGGGTGCCGGACCCTGGGGACCCTGCCCAGACCGAAGCCGACTGGTCTCTGCTTTTGTGGCATCTGTGTGCTCCCGGCGTCCAGCGCGCGGGGCTGAGGAGGCAGAGGTGCTGGCTACTTCTAAGGACGGGGCTGCTGAGATGCCCAAACCACGGGATGCGGGACAGTCAGACCAAGCCCTCCCTCCCTCGCCTGCCCACCTCCCCAGCTAGGAAGCACTTCCCGACTGGAATCACTCCCCCGGAGAGCAAGATGAGTTTTGTCATTCCGGTCAAAGAGGATTGCGCAGGCGGCCCACCCGGACACGGCCAGGCGGGGCGTGCCTGGAGCGGGCGGCTCAAAAGCACGCATGCGCACGAGTGATTCAGTGAAGCGGTGCGCCTGCGCACGAGAGGGCGGGAAGCCGAGAGGGGCGTTGGTTGTGCTGGCGGCTTGCGAGGCTCGGCAGAACGCTGAGCATGTGGAAGAGGAAGTGCGGCTGTTTCATCCACTGGCGCTATGGCGACACAGCGGTCTAACCCCTTCTGCTTGAGCGTGAAAGGCCATGTGAAGATGCTGCGGCTGGTGAGGGCCAGGGCAACGGGGATGGTCACGGGGGGCTCAAGGGTAGTGAGCAGTGGAGGGGTGCAGCCAGAGTGCCTGCTGGTGATGGAGATCTCCCCACGGGGCGAGGCCTTTCACCCTGCCCCCTGGAGGAGACGCAGCACCCAAAGCAGGTACGGTCTCCGCCTTTCCACAAACCCAACAGAGCTCTCCCCTCTTCCCCAATCGCCTACCCTCAGACCCCAGTCCCTCAGGGTGCACCGCGAGGCAGCTGTATTTGTGCTGCACGCTGAAGCCAAAAGGATTCAAAAGAAATTGTTTTCCATCATAGGGGGTGTGGTGGGTGCCCCGTTTCTAACTAAGTCAGGTGCCGGCTGTGGATGTACTGAACGCAAGGACCACCGAGTCCAGAACCAGGATCAGGGCTGCCCACGACCATGAGCCTGGCCGGCAGCTCGGACCAAACGGGAGAAAGTGACCCATCACGTGGAGCAAAGTGACCGGGCATAGATCAGCGGGGACTCCTAGTTGAAGGAATACAAGAGAACTTAAAGAGTATAGGAAAAGATATAAACTGTCTTAAATTATAAAGAGTTGACTCGAGGAAGGAGGGAAGGTGGAAATTACTAAAAACTACAGGGAGACATTTCTTCATAATCTGGGGAAGGCCTGCTCACTCCTGGTCAGCACTGGTTCCAGGGAGAGGCTAAGGCAGGTTCCAGGGGAGGGGACAGAATCCGGGAATTCGAGAAACAGCTAGGATGGAAAACAGGGCAGAACGCTTCAGAGAGACTCAGAAGCTATTCCAGAACCAGAAAGAGGTGAGGGTCCTTTCAGTTAAGTAACCAAAGGGAAAGAGAGCTGCAGGTAGGCCTGAGCAAGGGTTGTACCAAGTAGTAAAAACCCTGGAACACTGGCAGAAGAATGGGATCGTAAGAAAGGTCTAGTATGGAGCATATTAATTCTTTCAACAATCTGAGTTATTCGTTTGTTCTAGGCTCTAGATTAGGAACCCAGAACAACCAAGATGAATGAAGGCAGAAGTCCCTGACTAGAGGAGGTTTCATTTACTCATAGCTTGCATCTAGCTATGTAATATGTGATAAGGTGGAGGCAGGGCATGAAAGTGAAATGTCTAATCAAGAAAACAATGAGAGGTGTCAAAAAAGCTTTCTGGAAACCAAGGGAGGGGTCTGAGGGCCACCTGAACAAGGCCGTAGAAGTAAAGATACCATCTGTGCAGCAACCTGAAAGAAGCTGAATGTCGCCTTATTTATTCATTCAACAAATAGTTCCGAACACCCGTCAGGTGCCAGGAATTAACTCAGGCTCTTGAGAGAGATCGGTGAACGAAAGAAAGATCCCTGCCCTCCTAGAGTTTCCATCCTGGGTGGGAGGGTAGAGGAGACAAGCACAGTGTGTTGTGTTCTAGAAGGTGGTGAGGACTATGGAATGAGAAAAGTAAAGCCCGGCCAAAGGAGGGAGGGTTTTATAGTGAAAGGTGTTATGGTCAAGCTTTGTCAGGGTAACAGCCGATCAAAGACATGAGTGAGGTTAGCTGTAAGGATATCTGGAGGAAGAGTGACCCAGAAGGAAGTGCCACTGGGATGGTCCTATGGCAGTGATGTGCCTGACTGGGTCCAGGAGCAATGTGGCTGCAATAGAACACAGCGGAGACAAGGAAGGCTTTGGGTCTGATCATGTTATATTAAAAAATGCAATGTTAATGATAGACCAATGAGAAGGGACAAGAAAGAACTAAACTAGGGATCAGGGTAGACCAATCAAAAGTATTGCAATAATCTTGGCAAGAGGTGATGGCACCCCATCTTTCCAATAAAAATACATCTTTGAAAAAAGGTGCTGGCACCCCAAACTAGCTGGTGTCTGGTGGAGCACAGTAGCTAACAGGGATATATATAGGGACTTCAAAAAGTTCATAGAAAATCACAATTTAAAAATGTTTGTTAGGGTACAGAAATTTAAATCCATTGGCATTTTCATAAAGTATATTTTTATGATCTTCTTAAACAATCATCATATTCAGGAACTTCAGATATTTTTTTCACCAAGATAAACTTATCTCCTAATTCCATTTTTCGTGAAGTATGTATGTGGAAGTTAAGTATCCTTTATCCAAAATCTTTGAAACCAGACACATTTGGGGTTTTGGAGTATTTGGATATACGTAGTAAGATGTCTCAGGCATAGAGCTGAAGTATAAACATGAAAGTTATCTATGTTTCATATACATACAGCCTGAAGGTAATTTTACACAATGTTTTTTTATAATCTTGTGCATGAAATAAAGTGTGTACATTCAACCCTGAGAGATTCAGCCATGGAATTTTCCATTTAAGAAGCTTGGGATTTTGGAGCATTTGGAATGTCAGATTTTCAAATTCTAGATGTTCAATCTGTATTTTGAAAGTAGTGCCACGGGAGCCAGGGCAGGGGGCGGGCCTGGTGGGGTTTATTATGGTTCGTTACTACCAGGCCCCAGCTCCCACTGGTTTGCATGAAGGCCGAGTGTGTGGTGGGCAGGATTGGACTGGACTCCAAAACCTGTTGGTTTGTGTAGAAGACAAGGCTGGAGGCAGAACTGACCCAGCAATTGTAACCACCCACATTTGCACAAGCTGATTGGGACGACGCTTGGTGCCAGACCCTGTATTGGCAGACACACAGAAGAATCAGGTCTGAGATCACCTCAGATGAAGTTTCTTTTTGCCCCCCAGCTGAATTGCTGGACTCAGAACCCCAACCCTGGAGAGAATTACAAATTCCATGGTCGGACTATGGAGTGCATGTGTCAGAGCTGGGCCTCTTCAGTGGTTTAGACAGAGCAGTGGACGGCATGCCTGGGTGCATATGGAGGATATGGCAGCACATTGAAATCTGCAGAGGACACCTGGCACTACAACAGAGGATGGAGGACAGATCAAATTGATCAACCACCCCAGGCTAGTGAATATCTGCGTAAATGGTGACTCTAAGGTTGACTATGTCAACCAGTGGATTCTGGAGAGATTTCATCGTGCTTGGAGTGGCAAGATTGGCAGTAATTCAGAACTATTAAACTATCAAAACCTCTTGAGCAGGACCCTCAGAGCATGCCCCACATTGGGGACCCTGTTATGTTTGGAAGGCTGGGTGTGGCTTCTCCCCTTATCTCCTTCCTACCCCCAGATACAGGAAGGAAACTAAGAGAATGTGGAAATAATGGTCTCACCCACCTTCCTGTAGCCCTTGATCCTTATCACCCTAAGCAACTATGTAAAAATCATCAAAAATAATTATTAAAAAACAAAAAAATAAGGAGAAAGCAGTGCCAGCAAAATTGCTTATGAACAAAGAGAAAGAGAAGTCAAAGTAAGTGTAGGTATGTATGTATAAGTGTACGTAGCTGCTGAAGTGAGCACAAGCTAAGTCCAAAGCTTT